AATAGCTGTGAGGCTATAAATGATTTACTTTTGTGTGTTTTTTGTCAGGCAGAAATTTATTTATATCCCCTTAGGGTGTAAGAGGTTAACCCAGAATGGGGCCCCATGTTAACATCTGCTCAGGGCCTCTAACACAGTAAGAGCAGCTCTGTAAACTGGAAGATCGCAGCAGGAGAAACAATCATGTTGACAGAGGATGGATGCTTCTGTTTATTTATATAAAGTAATGGGACAATTCTGCAAAGCTGCTCATTGGGAACCATTATTCTGGCTTCCAGGACTCATTACTGAACAAACAAAACATTAAATAAAACAAGATAAGAAGGTTTGCATATAATGAATAGATCATTTAGAGGAAGAGAAGATAAATCATCTCACAGTAGGTCATTGTTTACCCGTTACCCTTGTGACTGATTCAAGCAGGCAGCGGTATCAGATCAGGGCCACTAATAATCTTTGGGTATTACGCCAAAAACACAAACCACAGTTACATTTTAGGAGTTTTACTTCACTTTTCTAGTGGATATATATAACGTTTTGATCTAGATAAGGGCTCCATAACAACCTAATAATCTATTAGTTCATGGCTTCCATAAACTCAAAAATGACCTGACTGATTAAAGCGTTTGTAACCAAAACGTAGTGTCATGATAATGTAATCATGCTACTGTCTATTATGGGATCCTTTTATCTTTTTAGGGTGGAGGAAGGAGGGAGAGACAGTCAGAAAAAAGCCCCATGAGGCGTAGTAACAGAAGTGACATAAATAAATAAATACACAACCTAAAGTTACGCAAACTAGGTAGTTCTACATTTTATGAGTGATGTCAGTTTCCTTTATGATGAACTAAATGTTTGCAGCTAGTGGCATCACAGTCAGCTGGTTTATCGGTTATAAAAACACATCTAAAAACAAAACATGATGAACTGAAATCAGCCTGAGCTACGGAAGCCAGATAAATGCTTCCATATAATATTTTATTCATAAACAGAAAACTTGATTTATAGATTTTATCGATACATCACCCAGACCTCTAAAATATAGAACACATTTGATAGTTATTGTCCAGTAACTGGCCAACAGAGGGCGCCGCCCAACCAAATGACCCTGATTTAAACATTTAAAAAAAATCTCTATATTTTTTTTATGTTTTAATTTTAAACTAAAAAATAAAATATTTGGAAATATATTGATATATTTTTTAGATGTTCAAGATTAATATTCAATCTTTAATGACAAGCAAAGCGTCATTTAATTTTTTGTCGGATTGGTGACGTATTTCCGCCCTAGGGAGCAAAAATCTTTGTAAAAGTTGTACATTATCTCTGTCGCTATGAGCCATTTTTTTAGGTGCAAATTATAAATGCATGTTGGGTATTTATAGAATACGTTTTTATTTTGAAGTTCTTCCCCTGGATGGATGTTTTGTTGTTCATGAATGATGACATGTTCACCTGTTTTATTTTAAGACGTGTTTTGCTTGTAAAAATACATTTTGTTATTTGTTATATTCATTGGTTTAATATAGATCATAATTATTATAAGTACATGATTATTATATATTTGCTCAATTTTAATACTTGGGTGTATTATTTTAAATATATAAAGTTTAGTCCCTTAATTGCATAATAATCAGGTTACCTTTATGCAATTTAAACAATAGATTATGTATTAGAAATAAATAAGCTTTATTAAACTAAAAGATGCATCATGCAAGGTCTGTGCTGCTGCCATGCTGGAGATCAGCCTGTTTTCCAGTGTAGTCCTGTTTCTCTGACTGTAACTAACTGGATGTGCTCTCTTCATCCTCTGACATGGGAGCTGGCTCGGAGCTCGTCTGCCTGGCTGTGTGTTTCCGGGACGGGGCCGCCTTTTACAGCAGCCTTTTGTATCTATGCTTCTTTTTCTATGTCTGCTTCTGTCTCCTTGAACCCCAGTGGGCCTCAGCAGATGGCCGCTCACACTGAGCCTGGTTCTGCTGGAGGTTTCTTCTTGTTCAAAGGGAGTTTTTCCTCACCACTGTCGCTACAAGCATGCTTAGTGTGAGGGATTGCCTTGGAGTCAATGAATTGATGCAATCAACTGGTTTTCATTAGATAGAAAACTTTGAATCAATCTGATTAGATTTGTGTTAAATTATCTAAATTATCTAAAAAAAGATTTTTATGGAATTTGTTATGTAATAAAATAACATAAATCTAAAAATATTGGTGAAATGATTCTGAGAGTGTTTGGGGTAGGCTTGCATCATTTGGTAAACTCATATTTTGCCACTTGGGTCAAAATATATACAGGACATAGTGACGAGAATAACTATGTTTTGATTTATGAATAACAAGGAACCATAATAAATATAATAATAAATTACATTATTGTATATGTCAGTAGTTTTAATGACTGTTTAATTAGAGAGAGGTGATTATTTCCATGGTTCCAGAGGTCTACCTGTGGCACAGGTAAATGGAGCCTCTGTAATCAAGCATGGCGGACCCCGCTGCTCTTTGAAGTGCGGTAACTTTAACAAAAGGCTTTGAAGTTTCTCCTGGTTGCTATGGACCACTCACCGTCTCTAAGGTGCTGTTGCCGGGCAGAGCGTTCTTGAACGGCGCGAGCCCACTTCTCTGCCTCCTCCAGGTTAGCGCGCGGGTCCTGGAGCGCCGCGAGCCGAAAGCACTGCTCCACGCGCTGCCGAGCCGGCGCAGCTTTCACCCAGCGGCGCTTCTTCAGCGGGTAGAAGTAGGCAGCAAAGTACGCAGAGGGGTCTGCCCCGTCATCCCCCCGGTAAGCCCGGGAACCAACGCAGTCCCTCAGACTCAGCACCACTTTGCGGCAGCTGACAGGTGCCGAATCGAGCCTCTGGATGATGAAGTCCTTCTCGGTCAGATTTACGGAGCACCGGGCTTTTCGGTTGCTGCTCAGTGTAAATTCTCCAAACAACGTGACGGGACCTGAAGCGTTCCTAAAGTCGGATCTCCTCTGATCCATCCTGATCGGATGTCAGAGGGTGAGACACGGACGGGATCCGGGACAGAGCTCCAGCTGCGCTGTCTCATCGCTGATGCGGAGCAGAGCGGAGACTGCGACTGACAGCCTCCCACTGATC